ATCACTTTTCATAAGTGATATTGTATAACATCACTTATAGGTAGAATCTAATAAATAAGCAGACAAATTCATAGATACAAAGAGTAGACTAGTGGTTGCCAGAAGAGTGGGGTAGGCAAAATGAGAAAAAGTAGTAAAAAAGTACAAGCTTCCATTTATAAATACTTTCCATTTATGAATACTTTGTTGTTGCTTTGTCTGAAAATGTCATTGTTTTAGATTTTTTTTTTCGGTATTTTTTATTTAACTGACAATGTTTTTTTTTTTAAAGATTTATTTTTCATACAGAACTGGGGTACAGGCCAGAGATTGGGAGGGTGAGAGGATTCACCAGAGACAGAGTGGGGAGCAGAACAGGCAGATTGACGAAGCACACTGCTGAGGAGAGCAGCGGGCGGGTCAGGAGAAGTCTGCCTGGCCATGTTGATCTCCTCCAGGGCAGGCAGGGATCGAACTCATGCGGAGGTGGCTTAAGCTTCTTAGTGCTGTGCTTTAACCCACTATGCCACCAGGGAGATGTTTTTAAGACATTATATGATTTAGGGACAGGAGCTTGTGGTTCCTTCTCTCAGTGTGAATTTCATTCCAATATTTCCTCATTTGCATTGTTTTTGATGAGAAATGAGCAAATATTTACTCTTGTGTGTGTAATGTCTCTTTAGTCTCTGCTCTTAGAATTTTTTCTTCACTAGTTATGAAAATGATGTATCCTGGAGGGGTGTGTGTCTGTTACCCCCTATTTTGAGTTAAATAGTGCTACCTGGAAAAATTTGGTCATCACATCTTCAAATATTTTCTCCTTCAGGAAATCCAATTATATATTTTTTAGCCTATGTGATATAAGGACACCTGGGCACTTTTTTTTTTTAACCTTACTTTCTGTTTCATTCAAAGATAATTATTTCAAATCTACTTGCCCTTTTATTTACAATGTCTAATGACGCCCAAATCCACCCCATGGATACTTATTTCAGATGTAGGAATTTGTAGAACTAAGGAATATATTTTTCATGACTTTCCTAATGTTTTTACTAGCTTGCTTTAAATATTTGAATATTTGCCCAAACTTTGGCTGTTTTAATGTTTTTTGTTAAGTAGGTCACCCAACACTGTCATTTGTTGGTTTATTTCCATTGGCTGTAATTTTTTCTTTTTTTTTTTTGCATCACATGTTCCTAACACCATTATATTTGTTAATTATTGGGATATATTTTATCATTGCACTATTGTTAATCTGGATAAGAAGTCATAGGTAAAAATGGTAACTGACTGCCCCAAAAATTAAAAGCAAAATTATTCACCATTTAATTATTACAAATCTGTCTTAATTTGAATCTATTTCTTTACCGCTGTATTTGTTTTTCTTTGTTCTTTTGAAGGCCATTCAACTTTGGTAATGAGTAGCCACAAAGTATTTTCCCCTTGATACTACTACCTATCCTCTGATTGACAATTAAAGTGGAAGAAAAGTGGCCACTTCCATTTGTTTCTTTCAGATCATTGTTTATCTTCTCTAATATTCACTACTATTATACAGCACTTAACAATGGGTACACATTCTAAGAAATGCCTTGTTAGGTGATTTTATCATTGTGTGAACATCACACACTATAATTAAAAAAACCTACATGATTTTTTTTATACTGTAGGCTATATGGTGTAGCCTATCAGCACTGACCTTGTAGATGTGATCCATCACTGACTGAAATATTGATAATCAACACATGGCTATATCGCAGTAAACTAAAACTAACCCAGTAAACTAAAACTAACTGCTAGATCTAATTATCCTTTCCCATTCCTAATTAATCTATGTGCTATATGAATGAAGGTACATGATAAGTAAGTACACTGCCTTATATATAAGGGTGTTAAAGTTGGAGACAAGAAAGTAAAATATTTAGTCGATAATTACTTTGATAGAGCTACTTAGAAAACAATGTGGGCCCTCCCTGGTGGCGCAGCCTGTTAAAGCACTGCACTGAGAAGCTAAAGCCACTTCCTCATGAGTTCGCT